AGGCTCAAAATGTTGATCATTTGGTTAACAGCCAAGCCCTTCGCCACGGCACCACTAAAGCTCCTTGGAATGTCCCCAGTGGCTAATCAATCAGACAAACAAGTGCCACAACTGGGTTCCTCACGTTAGCCTGGGGCTGGCACCTTTTGCAGTAGACTAAGACATCCCCAGAGGAGAGCTACTTCATCAAGAAACGTTCCTTTTTGTTGGACCACGGATACACAGAAAGGTGAGACAAATCCTGGACCCTCCTAGAGCTAACTGTCTAGTGGGGGCGGGGTGGGGGACGGCAAAGAAATGGCTTATTACAACAAAATGTATAGTGGGCTACACACAGAGCTCTACCCAAAATGTCAGTAGTTGGAGCCCAGCTGCTGTCTGAAGGGCAGCTTCTGAAGCAGAGGTGGAATCAGCAAGAAAGGACGAGAGGGTTGAGAGAATGTTCAAAGCTGGAAATACCCTAAGAAAGTATCAGGTCCCACGCATTTTGGGGAGTCCAAAGACTCCCCTAAAGCCTCTCAGTCTAACCTATGGACTTGCCAAGAGCGAATCCCACTGAGGGCAGCCCCTTATGTACCAGAGTAGAAATGGCACCCGAGGCTTTCTGCTTTTTGTTTCACAAGTAGATTGCCAGGCCTTCTTCCACAGCGCCATTGGGTGGACTCAAACCTGTACCCTTCCGATTGGTGCCAAAGGGGCTGCGCATGCGCACGACTCAGGGGCTCCAGCCTACTCTGCTCTGGCCTTGTCTCGAGAGAAGATTCAAGCCAGCAACAAAGCTCCACCGCCACCGAGTCGATGCCAACAGGGTAGAGCTGGCCCTGTGAGTTCACGGCAGTGGAAAGCCCCGTCCTGCCAGTTCTCCTTTCGAAACCACGACACCCTGCCTCCAGGGAAGACACTCGGGTCTTCCGTTTGCAGCCACACAAGGTGGGGCCCCAATCTAGTTTTCCCACGTGGGATGAATCTCAGCCTCTGGCAGCTGGATCGAACTGTATCTGTGCTTTTTCCGTCCGGCCCCACCCGAGTGGGAGGGGCCGCTGCCAAGCAGAGATTTGTTTTCGTCGTTCTCACTTAACGCTGAGAAACGTGTCATCGTTTCTAAACCGCGACGGTCCCGTGGAGCTGCGGCCTGGCGGGGGGACTTCTTAGGAGCTCTTCTCAGTTCCTTCTCCTTTTAGACGCCTGGCAGGGGCTGGGGCGGGCGCTGGACGCAACGGCCTGAACCTGCTTCAAGGGTCTTAAATTCTAAGGCATTCTGGGGGTGAGAAAAACGGACACGATGTCCTC